CAATAGTTCTCTGGTGGCTGAAATGCCGCGGACTCCAAGAGCTCCTCTTCAGACAAATATTTGGGCTCAAATTGGTAACCAAGCGCAACACCGTCTTGCCAAACATGTCATACATCTTCACTGATAACGGAAATGTTTATAGAGTCCAGACTACCGTCAAAAGACGAACTTGAAAAGCTATCAACACTGGATGATGAAGAACACGCCATAGCCATAATAAACAACACTGACACTAACACAACTCATGACGTCATCGCAACTAATTCCAAGAGATGGCACTGTGAACAGTATTTTAATGTGTAAGTTAGCAGACGACGTATAGTTCGATAAAAAAATGCTTCAAAACTATATCCATAGACAGATTTTTTTTTGCAACAATCTCAGCAATGAAAAAATGCAAAGTTGTGCACAAGCTTAGTGGTTACTCTTTAAAGCAAGCCCAAATTTACAAATCGTCGGAATAAGCCCGTGTCTAAAAAACACTTTAGTTCTCGCTCAGTTGGCCACCATTTTTCATCTTCCCCCATGCTACCATTCTCCCCCCCCCCCATTCTCAGACCAACCCATGCGACATGGTCTTAGTCCCCCCTCCTCGACCCCCTCCCTCCCTTTCTCCTTAACGATATCAAAGGTCTTACAACACCAGGCTGCAGATAAGATAAAAGACCTTCTCAGAATTCTGATTGCGATGTTGCCCGATACTTAGACGTATTTACTAAACTTCGTAAGTGCCCTTTTCATATTTACTGTGCATACGAATTTGTGTGTGTGTGTGTGTGTATGTGTATGGATTGTGTGTCTATGTGCTTCTTGCTCTCTCTATACATTTGTGTACTAAAAATACACAACGCACACGCGCTCATAGTGTCTAAATGAACAAACAGATGAGGAGAAAACAAAGGAGAATTAACCTCATATCTTATCAGTATTTATCAGCAAGACCCCAAAAGTTACGGCCAGTTCTACTCGTTTAAACCTATATTATAAGCGTGTTTATAAGGGTAAAGAAACCCCTAAAAAAACTTTGTTGGTAAACTTAATGCTAATAGTAATAATTATAAATAGTAATAATTATAACAATAAATATCTCCTATATTGGTTTGTCAAATAACCAGTTCTATTCGTTAATGTAGTTATATTAGTATACTTTACATAGCAATAGAACATTCCCCTTTAAGTTAATATGGATATCACTATTCATGAATCAATCACGCCTACCTGCCTCCTCTTTCACCTTTCAACAACCACTGTGTTTAATCTCTCTGTATATACGCTTTCTTCAGTTTTCACGACGCTGCTACCTGAAACTCACCTTTCCTCTTCCAAACGTCGCCCAATACTGAGCGAGAGATAGCCCTTATCATAAAGTACGTGGTACATATTCGCATTAACACACACGCATACATACGCACACACACACACAATATATATATATATTTTATATATATATATATATATATATATATATATATATATATATATATATATATATATAGATAGATAGATAGATAGATAGATATAGATAGATATAGATAGATATAGATAGATATAGATATATATAGATATAGATATAGATAGATAGACAGATATTCGGCTCACCACAATGCTTGCATTGTCTGCATGGTCAAATTGTTTATATAATCTGCCATCCGAAGTGGTAACCTAGTCTGATTCTGCGAAGAACACCTCTATTCATTGTTTCAGAGAGTGCCAATGGCTCATAGCTTGTGGCGTCTGAGTACCATCTGACCGAGGGGGAGGATCTCGTTTCCTCGATGTGAAGCTGATGGAGAATGGCAAGGGTTGTGGTTGTATGATCATGGGATTTGGGGGTACACTCCTGTCAATGTCAGCTAGTCTGTTAGCAAGCTCTATCCCTCTGATGCCTATGTGGCTAGGGACCCAGTTTATGATTATTCTTCTACCCTGAGCAAGAATACTCTGTACTATGGCAAGCACCGGTAGATGTTGCCCCTGGGTATGCTGTGCTGTAGACAGTCAGTGGTTGCCCCGGAATCTGTATGTATGGACACGTATCTTTCCCTCAGGGACGAGTAGTCTAGGGCTCCCATGATCACAAATGCCTTTGCCTGTAGCATCCCTTGCTGCAAAGCCGGCGCCTACAGTGTGGGTTAAAGGATCTACTGATCCATCCATGAAGTAGCTTGTGCTACCCGAAGGAGAGATGGCTGCAATAATCCTCTCGGTTTCTGCCTTTAGACTAGGCATGGGGTATTGATTCTTTCTCCTTAACAAGCTCCTGACAGAGAATTTGATCAAGTTTGTGCCCATGGTGGAGCTTCAATAAAGTCTGGGTCGGGGGAGTCCATGCCCTTAGCAAGTAGTTGCTCTTTGAGCTGATAGCATATCAACACCATAGCTGTGTGTGACAGCCAGGAGATGTTTGCAAAAAGCTCATAGTCTTGTTCTAGGTATCTGAGTATTTTTTGTGTCATGCTTGTGTTCCTGGGTGCCTGGCTGACCTTGAAAAGAGCTATACTGCCATTAGATCAATTCGTGAGTCCAGGGGGAGTTTTGCCTCTATGAGAAGGTTGAGGACCTTCGTCCACCTTGGAGCACCCACAATAATCCTAGCAGCTTCATCCAATTTTTCTCTTAATCTTGGTTTGGTGGCAATCAGGGCGACAGAAGGTTAGACCACAATGGGACAGATGACATGTACATAGAATGATTTTACTTTATGTCTAGCTCTTATGTGTCTCCCAGCCATTGCTCTTTTAACAGACAGTCTTGCTGTGATATTTGACCTTGGAATCTGACTTTGGCTGTTCTGTTCTTGAAATAGTCATCTATCCAAGCCAAGAGCTTTCCTCTGATTCCCTTCTGGATCAGAATCTCCTGAATGGCAAGAGGACTTGCTAATTCAAAAACCTTCTCCAGTTCTAGGAATACTACCACAGATGTGACAGTGCTGGTTGTGCTTAAGAGTGTGGCTAATCTGTGTGCTATGTTCATGCCCCTTGTTAACCCATGGAGGTGTTTATGTAGGGGTCCCATTTTCCATTGGAGTCGCTTTAGTACCATCCTCTCGGCTGTCTTGCCCAGACAGCTGAGGAGAAAGATGGGGCTGTACTTCCCTGGCTCCTTTGGTTTTGGGATTAGAACTATGGTTACTCTCTTCCATTTCTGGGGTAGAGTGGAAGTTTCCCAGGACTTGTTGATGAGTTGCAGGAATGCAAGCCAGCTCTAGTTGGGAAATGAAGGGGTATGAAATCCTATCAGAACCTGGGGCTGAGTGAGAACTGTTTCATAGGTTTTTCTTAATTCCTTCAGAGAAAAGATAAAATCTGCATTATCGGGTTTGGCTGCCCTTTCTCTGATATGAGCAAGTCTGCCTGGTTGTGGGCATTCTTGGCTTGCCCTCAGTTTGGCTGGCAGACTTGCTGCTTGTTCTCGCAGAGATGCACTACCCAGTTTGCCTCTGACTGAGTGTCGTGGTGTGTACACCTTGGGTCTGAGCAGCTGGTAGCTCGCCTGACCTGTTGTCACAGCTCTGTAAGGGTGGTTTTGAGGTCTCACACCATTCCTGAAATCTTACAAGGGCTAGATTGTCAGGGGCTTTTTGCCTTTGGAATTGTTTTCTGCACGTGTCCACTCTGTGGTTGACCTCCTTAATCTCGTCATTAAAGTACCAGGTGTCTTTATAACTTCTGGACCAAGGCCAGGATTGATTGATTATTTAAAATTATCTGCCGCGTCAACAGCTAAGGTCATTACCGGCGAACACCTTGTTAAACTGAAATATTAGAATATTTAAAACGGTAAAAATCTATCAATAAATGTTTTAAATAACAATAAATATTATATTGAAAATCAAAGCATAAACATTATGCTCTAAATGTCTAAAAACTATTGCATAAACATTATGCATAATTAAATTTTATTGAAAATATTAGTTTCCCTAAGGAAACTAATAAGACCTATGTCACAATCCTCCCCCAATACAATTTTCAGTGTATATGGGGGAGACAAGTACCTTCGTCTTTGGTCTGAGAATGTTGCACATCTTTCCACTATATGTGCGACCGTTAATGGCTCTTGGCATTCCTCACAGCGTGTTTCACTTTTAGTCATCATCGGCCCATGAGTCATTCTTGTGTGCCCAATTCTCAGCCTTGTTAATACAACTTCCACTTGTCGGTGGATGCTGGTCTCCCAACTACCAAGGTCTAATCTCTCGTAGTTTATTTCTAGAGGTATGCCTCCATTGTTCCCTCCATTCATCACGAAGACAACTTCTGATGCTGGGTTTCAAATCAGTGTGTGGGAGAGGAAAACGAGCATCACAAGGCTGAGCAGCAGCTGCCTTGGCCTTCTGATCAGCTCGCTCATTCCCACTGATGCCAACATGTGCTGGCACCCAACACAGAGTCATCTTTTTATGTGCTGACATCAATGCAAGCCAGTCTTGAACTTCCCTCACCACTGGATGTGATGAGTTTTAGCTCTTGATTGCTTGCAAGGCACTACGAGAGTCACAATATATTATAATAGAATTGTTCGTAAGATCTCTAGTCATCTTGACTGCTGCAAGGATGGCATGTAACTCTGCAGTGAAAATCGAGGCTGATCGAGAAAGATTGCCAGATGCAGTCTTCCTTCTGCTCACTGCTGCAAAGCCCACACCATTTTCAGATTTCGAACCATCTGTATATATTGCATATGATCCCTGGTACTTAGAAGTGTGTTGAAGAAATCTCTCTCTGACTTCTGCTTCGGATCTCTCCCCTTTCCCAATTCCGACCAAATCAAGCTCAACTTGATTAGTCCAAGGGGGGACTTGGGAAGTTCCAACAGCCAGAACCCTTGTGAGATTTAAATTAAGTTCTTCCACAAGATTCCTCATTCTCCTACCATAGGATCGGCTATCCTCAAGGGGGTTTAAAACCAATCTGGATGTAGGAGATCCCGGAATCCTTTGTAGTCTCGTGTAGTAAATCAGGTTCATGTAGTCCCGGTGTAATGAAAGAGGTGGTTTTCCACTCTCAGCATACAGGGACTCCACAGGTGAAGACTTGAAAGCCCCTATATAAATTCTCAGGGTTTCATTATGAACCGAGTCCAACATCCGGAGAATGCTGGGAGTTGCAGATGAATAAGCTTTACATCCATAGTCAAGTTTACTACGAATAAGTGCTCGGTAAAGTCGCAGAAGCGTTGTGCGGTCTGCACCCCAAGATAGGTGGGAAAGAACCCACAAAATACTAAGTGCTTTTGTAGCTTTCACCTTTAACTGTTTAATGTGAGGCACCTATGTAAGCCTTGAGTCAAAAATTAGACCCAAGTACTTTACCTGTTGGACAAAATGTAGTGGGTTTGCTTCTAAATACAGGGAAGGGTGAAACCTTCCTCGTTTGTGGAAATGCATAGCCATGGTCTTGCTAGGAGAAAATTTGAAGCCATGGTATGTTGCCCATTGCACAACGTGATTTATTGCAGTCTGCATGTGTCCTTGAACATCCTGTAAGCTTCCTCCTGAGCAGTACAGTGTAAAGTCATCCACATACAGACTACATGAAACAGCACTTGGAACGACCTTTACGATGTCATTGATAGCAATGGCAAACAGGGTCACACTTAAGATGCTCCCTTGTGGGACTCCTTCCAGCTGATCTTCCAGGTTAGAGAAGTTGTTTCCCACCCTCACTCTAAACTTCCTGTTAGCAAGGAAGCTTTGTATGAAGGTTGGCAATGCTCCTCTTAAACCAATGTCATACAGCTTCATGAGTATGCCATGCTTCCAAGTCGTACCATAAGCCTTTTCAAGGTCAAAGAAGACTGCTATCATATGGTTGATTGATTGATTATTTAAAATTATCTGCCGCGTCAACAGATAAGGTCATTAGCGGCGAACACCTTGTTAGGTTGAAACATTAAAATATTCTAAACGTTAAAAAAAAATTATCAATAAATGTCATAAATAACAATAAATATTATATTAAAAACCAAAGCATAAATATTATGCTCTAAATAAAAAAAAAAAAAAAAATATTGCATAAATATTATGCATAATTAAATTTTATTGAAAATATTAGTTTCCCTAAGGAAACTAATAAGACCTATGTCACAATCCTCCCCCAAAACATTTTTCAATGTATATGGGGGAGACAAGTACCTTCGTCTTTGGTCTGAGAATGTTGCACATCTCTTCACTATATGCGCGACCGTTAATGGCTCTTGGCATCCCTCACAGCGTGCTTCACTCTTAGCCATCATCGGCCCATGAGTCAGTCTTGTGTGCCCAATTCTCAGCCTTATTAATACAACTTCCACTTGTCGGTTACGATGGATGCTGGTCACCCAACTA